CTATCGCTTCAGCGAATTTACATAGTTTTTCAATGTCAAAGTGGAAAAATCACCTTCCATTTCTGAATGTCGCTTATTTTTTTCTTCATTTCCTATTTGCTCTTAAGCATATCTAAGTTATTCCCTGTTTAATTATTGGTAACTTATAGTTTACTGCAACTCCACTGAATGTGCTACTAAATGTGTTAACTGTAATTCTTTAAAACAAATTGCAGAACAAAACTTGAGGCAGTCCCTTTACAGTTTGGTCAGTGAGTTTATACACATCATCATATATCCTCGTAAAATATCGAGGAAAATACGAACCTGAATTAAGCACCAGAACTTCTCAAATGTTTTGCCAAACTTAATAGCAGGAACCTGTCAGACAACTGTACTAAGGCTCTAGGCTTCCTTGGTATCAAGAATTCCTTTCAACAAAGCTGACCTCTGTAACTTTGAATGTGAGTCAAGAACATTTTCTTTTTTAAAAAAATATCAAAATTTTTTGAGGTTCTTTTGGTTTATGAGAAGTCATATAAATTAAAAAAAAATGACCACTTTGACCTTTGACATATATCAAAGTCATTTCATTTGGCACACTTTGTCGGTGTTATCCCAAAAATCCTACCTGTTACATATAAAGATCCTAGACCTTTGGTTAATCAGACGTTTCAATGTTGCACAAATTCGACTACTGTGACATTGAATACAGGTCAAGGTCATTTTACTTCCTTCGTGCTACAACATAGATACAGGTCAAGGTATTTCTTACCTCCTTCGGGGGCTTCATCATAGGAACCTTCAAGCCAAATATCAAATTCTAGGCCTCCTATTTATCAGAAGAAGCCGTGTGAAATGTTTCAACAGATTTAGCCCCTGTGGTCTGGAATATAGTTCAATATAATTACCTTTTGCAAACTATTTTCATGCTTCAACTAAGGAACATTCTAACGAAACATTGCGATTCTATACCTTTTTGTTATTAAGAAAAAGCCATTTGAAGATTTTAATAAATTTGACCCCTGTTACATTGAATATGTGTCAAGGTGATTTCTAGTCAAATGTCAGAATTATACGTCCTTTGGTTATTGAGAAGAGTTCGTTTAATTGGCAAACCAGACGACTGACGGGCGACGAAAGTTGAAAATGCAAACCAAACATTGAATTCTTTATTCTCAACTTAACTTTTGAATTGGGTGTTATTATGAAAAACATTCATGAAAACGTTTCCAGGTCGATACACTGACATCCTAGTATAATGGACCCCTATAACTATAGGTCTCTTATTGATTCCGATATCTGTACAGGGATAACTCCCAAAATGTCCATTGATTTCTTCCCAAAACTTCAAGAGAAAACAATATGCTGGTCTGTGTATGCCGATAATTCCAGCACTGACTCTCGTATAAAGGCGAACGAGGGCGCTGACCTGGTGGTCAAAACTCTAGTCAAATGTTGCACTATCATGACCACTCATGTCATAGACAATAGATGTTGTCCGTTATTAGGGTCATCAACAGACGTAATAGACCGAATCTGCCAGTTAGAGAAGCTCTCGCCCCAAATCTCGTTTGACATTTGCCACTTGTACAGCATGCGCAGAAGACGTATCTTTCATGGGATGATAGAAATAATAAGAGTGCAGTGCCTCTATGCGTTGTACTAAGAGCATGCACAAAGCCACAACAGAGGGACACGTTACAAAGCTAATCTATACGTGTTCTCTCATTGTTACTTTCCTTCTCATCATATTACACAAGATATATGTTACAAAATTTAATTAATATAAAGAGGGAATATAGAACATGGCCTAAATAGAGCCTATCAATTCTCGTATCACACCACGAACAACCGTGGGTTTTTATTACGACAGTTTTGCTCATGTTGGCGTCTGTACAGTGAGGCAATTGCAGTTGGGGCATATTTACAATAAAATAATGACAGTAAGGGTAATTTGTACTTTTATACAGAAAATGGCATTGAGTGCATCTTTATACAGGAAGTGATGATGATGTCATATTTGCACTTACATAATGACGGTAAAAGGATCTTTAAATTTAAACGGTGATGTTGGCATCTTATGTTATGTAAGTATAATGTTGCGTGTATATAATATTCCTAGTGCAGCGAGGGCATCCTTTCCCTACAATATTGGTTGATTCAGATTGAAATTATATATACATATATATATATATAGGATCAATGAAGTAATAACGACAGTACGGACAAGTGAATTGTCAATTTTTCGAGACAAACTGTCCCTTTTAGCAAAACACAAATATTACATAAATTACATTACATTCATAGAACAAAAAACAAATACAAAGTTATAAAGTTAAATCGAGAGCGGTAATGTAAGTTTAGGTGTCTCGATAATCCCCTTCGGGAAATGGACACCGAAGGCCCTTTATAACGGACAAAAAACCATAACAAGTAGTTGTATGGAAGATATTGCCTTTCAATAGCATAGAGATTGGGCATAAGCTGTACAGCTTATGTAAAGACCTATTGGCTTTATTGAAGATGAGGGCACTCTCTCACATGTAACCTATAGCAATTTACCATTTTTTTTTTATCAAAACTGTCCTCAGGTACTAGTCATTATCAATGCCAGCCATTACTGGACGGCTGACAACAGAGAGTACAGGGGATGATACGTCCATTAATAGGTATGCGCCTCTTTTTCTCATCAAATCTTGTGAACTCATTTCAGTCGTCAGTAACTGATACCAAGTAAATAGGACGGGCCGTTAATAAGGGAACAAAGGATACATTTGTCGAGTCGAGCACCTCTAGATAGCAACATAAGTTCTATCTACATCTGGTGGAAGTGATTGTATTTATAGGTAATCTATTAACAAGGATAATTGAACATTCGATATTTCCTATCTGCTTGAGGTTCAAAAGCACTTATCTGGTAACATTGCTTCTATATTTGGGCATATGGCTAGCGTTTTACAGACGGGATAACAGCGTTGTGCGCTTTTCTAGTTGATTGGCAAGAGACGCTAGCGAGGGAATTGTTTTTTTGCATCTTGTAATAAATAATACGTCGAAAACATATAAACTCTTATAAAGACATTAAGACAATTTGATCATCATCGAAGTCATAAATACGATGTCTATTGTTAGGAATGCTGGACAAGATATGGCAAGACTGAACGAAAAAAAGGAGTGGTAGGGAAAATACGTGGGCTGTGGTAGCAACCGTGTACGGAAGGTTCCCTAATACAATTACGGAATTACTTAGAGTCTTGTACCATAACTAGAGTCAATCGATTAACTAGGTTATCGCCTCGTTAGTTATACGTTATCCTTAAACAGGGTAAGACCTAGTTATAAAGGACAGAATACAGAGTTACGCATTCAGGCTAGAAAAGTATAAGGTAGATATAAGTTGATATACATGTAGCTCGGTGTACAAAGGTTAAAAAGGGGTTTAAAAACATGAAGGTTAACTGACAAGTTAAAACCTGGTTAAGATATAAAGAAGTTAACACTGAATGATAAGGTGTAATAATCAGTGGTAAATCAAGATATGTGATGTGGTTATGGTAAGATAAAGGTCAGACACAAGGTTGGTTGTAAAGGACTAACTGCAGTTAGATACCAAGTTATACAGCTTCATGGTTAAGTTGAGGCGTTTTAACTAGGTTCTAATTAGCTTTGCTTATTATCCCATGAACAGTAATGCGGAGTTGCGGAGTCTTCTTGTACATGTTGTAGCCAATGGCTATATGAGACACTGAAAACCATGCTGGACGTCCACCACTTGTTATTCAATGCAACTGAATTCAGATTTCATATTTCATTTACACTCAGTCCGGCTAATGTGCTAAACAAAAGATTTCGATCAGATCTATAAAAAAGATCGTGGAAGAAATCTAAATTCCGATATCTTAATGTTTTCAGCGGAGAAGGGAAATAACTCCTTTATGTAAATCTGTATTACAAAAAAAAACAAAATATGATCATTTTGACGGTAAAGGTGGGTCATACATCGCACAAGGATGATTGAGTGATTACTCTTCATGATTATAAGCCAGTGCAAAAACTGAAATGTGCAGAGGAAAAAAAAGACGAAGACCTATTAATATTATCTCTTACTTAAGCATGCATTCCCCCATGTTTTGACCGGAAGTAGGACATATTCAATATAAAATAGCTCACTCATGTTTTGACCGGAAGTAGGACATCATTCAAAAGAAAATAAACATCAACAATTTCAACGTTTTCTGGTTAGTAAGGTACTTCTCTTGAATATTTTTCTGGAAATCTTACGTAGACTTCAACTCAATATTGCATTAATTATCACCACAAATCACAGATTTCAGATTCGTAAATTCGGACATGGTTGATCACTTTTCTGGATTTTTAGGACCCAAAAACAAATAATTTAGCTTGTTTCTTGATCTTTGGAAAACTGTTCTTCTGGGTGAAAATTGGAAAGCAATAAAACCTAAGTACCCTCTCCTTTTTAATCATGAGAAGTATAATTGAAAATTTCTCTTTCCAAATACAAAGTATTAAAAAGTATAAAACTAGAAAGAAGTGGAATAAAGGATTTAGGTAATTTTGGAACATTTTCATTTATTGGTTGCTATCATTAAAGCCAATGGAAACTTAGCATTTTTGGTGATATTCTTTCTTAATATCCAAGTATCATTACTTTATCTTGTAATGAAAGACAAAAAACATATTTTAAAAAAACGGTTTCCATGAAAATAACAAGAAATGTATGTTATTCAGAAAAAAAAAGATACACATGAAAATTAATTATTTCATGTTATACTTATTCTGAAACCTGTACTGAAAAAAGTAGTGCAGCAACATATTGTTATCGTGCTTTTAATCTACTTGTTAAGATCACACCTTTCATAAAATAATCATCAGAAAAAAAGTTTAAGACTGGATTTTTTTTTCACTTCACAGAAGGGTACATCCTTAAATAGAACTTAAGCAGTGCTGGTTGGAAATTATTGGATTTGTGGCTCATAGAACATAACAAAAACAGGAAATTTATTCAGCAGATTTTAATCGGTAAGGTCCTATCTGAAACACCTGTAGGTCTGTTGTTGGTGTGGGGGCGTGGTCTGGTACTGAGTACTTCAAGGTGACTTCCTCAAAGACATCACTTCTGGACACCTGTACAAAACAACCAATAATTATTCATTTTATCGAGGTGGAAGAGTTATCTCTCTTGACACCAATCTAAAAATATGGTTCAGGTATGATGGTATTGTGGGTTTCCTATAAATTTAATTGAAAATGTTGAAGGGTATGTTATCGGTTAAATCAACTGACCCTTCATAAATTAATATGTAATTTGCATAATTAAGAATAATCAAAATATTTCTTGATAGAGGGGCAATTTTCGTATGGAAAGATGGAATGTGTTAGGGCTAGGGTTGGAGGAGAGGGAGGTGGTGCAGTGAAGCCAGAATTAAGAAATCTCTACAATTAGGTGAAAACTTAATTTTGCCTGGATATAACACAGCAAATATACACATCTGTATAACCCCATTCATTTCAATTCAAAGCATATAGTGAATATGATGACATATTTCTTTTACCTGTTACTTGCATAAAGACAGAGTTAAAACAATATTTCAATAAATTTGTTGCTGGCATTTCTGTAAATTCTCAGCTACATTCTCATTTTTTTCTGACAAACACTTTAGCAAATTTTGATACGAGAGGATGACAGTACAGATGTAATTGTAACATCGCTCAATTTTTTAATGTTAAAATATGCAAAAAATGCATGTAGGTGATAAATAGGCAGGTGATTTCAACTTCAGGAACTTTTAAATTGCGATCTGATTTTAATGATGATAGAAAAACTTCATAAATTCTAATTAGTGTTGGGAATCGGTTGAAACTTCCTGATCTATCATCAACTTTGTGTAACCGATCACTGATAGATTAAAATCCATTAAAATCGATGAATTCTTAATTGTGTTTTTGGATATTATTCAAGTCTAAATATGTATTTTGTGTTATGTTTTAACAGCAATTCACGTAATTACTAAAACTGTTGTACCTACACCATCGTTTTGTGTGCTTGTTATTCGTTTATTGCACAGAATACTTTTTAATATAAACAAATATCATTTTTTAAAAATAATTTTATTAATGTTGAAAATAATTTCAATGTTAAAATAATCTATTTTCATACATCACGATGATCGATTACAGATTTCTTAATCGATTAATTGATCAAACATATCAAACAAGTGATACTCGATTAACTCGATTAATCGGAACAACACTAATTCTAATTAAAACCCAAGCCCCCACCCCCGCCCCCAAAAAAACCAACAAAAAAAAAAAAAAAAAAAAACAGAAAAAAAAAACTCACCAAAAACAAAACAACACATACTTGTCTTCTGTGTGAAAGTTCTCCGTTATAAAATATATTTCCATATGCAAATCTATGACAATTCTATTAATCTCTCTGAGAATAAGCAATTCATCTCTTTCTTGTGCATTGTTGATTGATATAATTTATCGAACCTTTTTTTCTAATTGTTGTATACATTATTTTTTGAATTCCTATTATTGATTATCTATTAAAGATGTTTTACATTGCAGTTTTTAGGGCAGTTATATGAAAATTAAAATTTTCAGAAACGGGTGACATGAATGGTGTTTAGTGGACAGGAGTTATCTCTCTTGACTAGTTGAAGAACATCACTTCCATAGAGAAAGTGCAAGAATAATAGAAAGTAGGCATTCTTAATAAACACTTGTCCTAAGATAGTGTATGAACCCCTCTTTTCTGATTGGGTTTCCGCCAAAAGTTCAGGTTTCATCAGAAACTCACTGAAAAGAAGAATCATACAACCTTGCATCTCCCCTAATTTTTTTTTTAATGCCAAAAACCTGTCCAAGGCCACTATGTATACTATTTACTTCAGTATAAGAGTTGTTTCTCTTGACACATACCTCTTTGAATCCTAGTTTTTGGAAAAGTTGTATGCTTGCTTCATTACTGAAGCCAATCTTAGCTGTAAACTCCTCAATCTTCAATATCTCTTTCCCTGCAATGCATAACATATATGCGAAATAATGTCTGCCACATCATGTTTACCAGGAAAATCTACAAAACATAATTTTGATAAACTATGTAATTATTCACAAAAAATATACTTTGTAAGTTGACAAAACATATTCTTTTGTCAGAATTCTGATTAAATTAATGAAGTTTTTACCATATTTCATCATGCATAGTAGTGATTCCTTTCCAAAGCCTTTTCTTCTAGCACTTGGTTCTGGGAAAAAAAGACACAAACTAAAACACCTCGCTATAGAAAGAAGTGACATAGGTATAAAAAGTTTTCTTGGTATCTATGAAGAATCAATATCGGTATCATCGATGATAGATCCACTAAAAAGATATGTGTATCTCTCACCTGCAATCATGATTTCTATTTCTGCAGAATGCTTGTTATCCTTGTCATTGAAAAACAGATTCACATCGCCAACCATTGCAGCTGTATCAACAAAGTCAGGCAATCAACATATTGTCCACAGATTAAGGAAAAAGATATTTTTCACTGTAACACGGATTTTTTCTTCAAAGAATATTAATCAGTCAAATCATCATAAATGACACAAAAATATCTCATGCATTTTAAGTGTAATAGAACTATTGTTACTGCCTCTTTCCACTCAAAATTGAAAGCAATGGAAACACTTCAATAAGAAATGACGAAATAGACATTTAGAACAACTTACAAATTTCATCCTCATTGCTTTTCTCGGAGTCATTGTACAACCCAAGGTCAAGTACTATAAAAGTGCATTCTGAAAAAAAATGGAAGGATAAACAATATAGATCTAATTCAATGTTTGATTGTGCAGGTTTGTATGAAGCATATTTCAATTTGATACATTTGTTTTCTTTAGATGTATCAATATCTCAGACTGGTAAAAATGGGAGTTGGGGGTGGGGGATATGTGTTTTTGTTTATATTATTGATCTGCTTTCGGGTTATCCTCTGTATACAAATGCTTCAAGTGAACTATGCAACATTTCATTGTAGACAGATGTCATGATATAAAACTAATTATGACAATGTAATTACACTTACTGTCTTCATCTTGTCTCCAGCTTTGCTGCATTTGGAACTCAGCTCCCAATGACAATGATTCCGATGCTGTCAGCTTTTGGAGCTCTTCCGACTGCATCCATTGATGATAACTGGAATATCAAAATCCTTCATTAGTTTTATTAATAAGTACAAAAACACATATAATCTAATATTTTATGGCATTTGACGTTCTTAGTATGACTTTTTCTTCTGCATGTAATCTGCTATTGTTAAACTTGAAGCGAGATGAATCTACATATGACTAATAAATAAATGAAATTCGATTTCACAACACCATATTCATAATTGATTTATGAACTTATGGAGATTCTAACGAATGACATAACACAATATGTTGAAAACCTCACACCAGTTCTCAAATATACTTTTTTTACCAATCACATGTTGGTACGAGTAATCTGTAACTAACTGAAGAATGTAGACTTTGACAATTGTTACGTACCGTGGGACGTGGTGGGCTTCATAAGGTACTAGTATAATCTTTTTGCTCTCCACGATTGTGTTAGCGTTAATTAACATCTTTGCAATTACTTTTGTGGTTACTCTTTAGGAGTGCATTACTTTTCTTTCCCTGTTTTGTTATCATCCATAGTTTATTTACTGCTTCGCGGCGAGTATCTGTTAGCCGTTCGCATTAAACGCAGTTGAGATCAAGAAACCAATCGGTGCATTCGCTGACCATCCTCAGTCTGGCGTCGGTGCGTTCGTATGTATTTCATGACGTTACGAAGTAAAGCAGTAGGCCTATAATGACAGAAATGTATGAATTATTTACATAAAAGTATAGTATGTCTTACAACATATCAAAATCTTTTGAACAGCGGTGAACATCCATATTCTACCGGAAGTAATACATAGCGAAACATCAGCCTCGTTGACATGGTGACAACAAAATTACGTTACGTACTAATTAGTAAAATCAATTAATATATTTCCTTATCTACTTTCTAAATAAATGTATGCTGCAACTTTTCCTAACCCGTCAAATGCCATATTTTATATATGTAACATTGTGAGATGTAATCAGACAATTACACATAAAACAAGAAGAGTGACAAAAGCCGGTTCGTAAGCCTCGTCTTGAGAATTTGTTCATTTACACATATATTTTTTTTTAAATGTTGCAGATAATTTCAGTGTGTAATTCACATTGTATCTTCTAGGATAGCTCCTAGCTCCTAACCAATAGCTGGTAGAGTGAAGTTTACTCATGATAGAGAATACATCTCTCCGATTTCGTGGTTAGAAATGGGCGCGACGATTTACCCAAATACACCAAAATATACCCAAATACACCCCAATACACCCAAATTAAGCCAAATTTTACCCAAATATACCCAAATAAAGCCAAACCGATTTACAGGAACGTGTCGTAACAGGCTCTGTATTATCAGGGACGTATATCTGTTATATACGTTCCTGGTATTATATTTTATTACTAATAAACTACATGATAAAATAGATTATCTTTGTCTAATTTTAGCTTCCATTTACTAAGGCAATTCATATAAATTCCGTAATACCATATAGGCTAACGGGCAAAAAACGGACAAAAATGAAACGGGAACGAATTTGGGTAAGATTTTGGTATATTTGGGTACGATTTGGATGTATTTGGGTAAGCTTTTGGTATATTTGGGTACGATTTGGCTTTATTTGGATGTATTTGGGTAAGATTTTGGTATATTTGGGTACGATTTGGATGTATTTGGGTAAGATTTTGGTATATTTGGGTACGATTTGGATGTATTTGGGTAAGGTTTTGGTATATTTGGGTACGATTTGGATGTATTTGGATGTATTTGGGTAAGATTTTGGTATATTTGGGTACGATTTGGATGTATTTGGGTAAGATTTTGGTATATTTGGGTACGATTTGGATGTATTTGGGTAAGATTTTGGTATATTTGGGTACGATTTGGCTTTAATTGGATGTATTTGGGTAAGATTTTGGTATATTTGGGTACGATTTGGATGTATTTGGGTAAGATTTTGGTATATTTGGGTACGATTTGGCTTTATTTGGATGTATTTGGGTAAGGTTTTGGTATATTTGGGTACGATTTGGATGTATTTGGATATATTTGGGTAAATCGTCGCGCCAGTTAGAAATCAAGTCCACTCTCGTTCGGAACACCTTGCTTCGAGCACAGTGTCTGCCATAACAGATGACCTGGCCCCACTTGCATAAAACATCTCAACTTGAGATTTCCTCAAGTCGAGATTTTCCTCAGCTGATATCTCCTCATAAACGGCTTGTATAAAATTTTCTCAAGGAACAGGAGGAAGTCATCGGCTAGGATGTCCTGAAATTCCTTGAGGAATTTCCATACAAGATATTTTCAAGGAGATATTAGCTGAGGAAAATCTGGGCTTGAGGAAATCTCAAGTTGAGATGTTTTATACAAGTGGGGCCTGAAATCGGCCGAGGCGTTCCGATTGGAGCACGCTGTCCTGCTCACGGGTTCGCGCCAACCTGTCACGGGAGCCCCACGAGATTTCGCGGTGATAATGTCCACGGTTTTCACAACAAAATCATTATCAATTGTCAACTTTTTTATGATATGTAATTAATATCAAAAGATGAATGTACTTCAAAGCAGAGACCTATATAGTTACACGCAAATCCGCTTATTTACATATTGTACTATTCAACACGACGCCGACAAAACTATTTCTTCATTCCATGTATCTAAGACTTATGGATTTTCAAAGTGATGTGTATATATGGAATCTTATTTGTATTGGATATTTGAGGTCACAGTTTTTTTTAAATCCGATAAAAATCACCTCTGCCAGATCAAAGTTGTCTCCTATATTTTTCGAACCTTTGAAACATCACGCGTAATGTTCCCAACATCTTTGTCGCTTTACTTGCCAGTATAAAAGAAGAGGTGAATGAATATTACAAATGTAACATTGTTATCTTTTATTTCTCATAGTTAATCAAATAATTATGAGACTGAAAGTACACACATTTTTCTATGTTACGACAAAACAAAAACATATCTTCAATAATACAACACAGTAAACAAACACGATGTATTGTTTGACCGGGTTTGGTTTATTGTTGCTTAACGACCTGATAAGCCAGGGTCATTTAAGGTCGTGTCAGGGGTTGCTGATGGTGGAGGAAAGCAGGAGTTCCCGGAGAAAAAAACAACCGACTTGCGGTCAGTACCTTACAATTAACCCACGTAGACATCGAACCCACCACCCTGTTTGGTTTCGTTTATTGTTCCTTAACTTCCAATTAACAGCCAGGAGGGTAATTTAAGATTGTCCTAGGTTTGGTTGGTGGAGGAAAGCCGGAATTCCCGGAGAAAAAAAATCACCGACCTGTGGCCAGTACCTGGCGACTGCCCCACGTAGGCACCCAGGGAGGAGGGCTAAAGATGACGGTCAGATACCTTTAACCCCTTAACACAGTGTATTGTTGAACCTGGCCTCAAATAATGAAATAAAGAACGATTGTTGGACATAGTTCCATCTTTTATGATTTGGAGACTAGAATGGATTTATTTACGAGTACTCTGTTAATTTTCTCGGTCATTCCTTAACTCTTCCCACCGCTGGTAATATTTAAACATATAATACAACCCATGTGCGTTTTTGAAAAGACTCCAAACAGCACATTCGAAGTGTACTTATCCGAAAGCGGTTTTGATTATTCTTTACGTCAGAGGATTTGTCTGCCAAGAGCTGTTATTTTACGACGTAGTTTGACCCAGATACTCTAAGCCACTCGGTACGTGACCTACAAAAATCGCTTCCGTGTATCTCGCCGAGAAAAGTTACTACTATTACTCACATGCCAGACCATACGTTTATTGTGTCTGGCGCACAGGAACCCTCGTCAAGGAATAGTTTGCCGGTACGTTTAGTAAAGCATTATAAAATATTGAGCCTATGGAAATACGGAACGGTAACGAGGAGAACACAAATTGTATCTCCAATAGAAGTAGATGGACACCATATATTATTTAACTAACGGCGTGTGTTTTCTACGGAAGCCCATTGGTGCCAAACGAAATCTTAATTAAAAAATGAATAAGTGAAATAATGCGAATATTCGCAATAATAGTAAAAGTACATAGTCGTTGACCAAATGTAATTAGTGTGTTGTATTCGCGTTCATAAACTATGTTCATGGTTATCAATGATACAGTATACAGTACCGTTTACTGCGGGATAGTACAATGAGCATTCGAACCTTGTTCAATGGTACTCTTGATTGTTTCTTGGGGCAAATAATCTCTTGTAATGTACACTCACCAGAAAATAAATGTATGATATTTAAAAAAAAACGTCGGATAATGGAATGAAAGCTGCCCTGCTCGCTGAAATTCGTTTCTTTTGTCTGGATTACCTGCCTTAGTACAACATTTCTCCGCTAGAGAGCGCTCTAATGGAGAGTAGAAAAAAACTACGGCAGGCAACAGACTCTGTCGGGATCCTTTGTATATGGCATAGTGTTGCGAAAGAAATAGTCACGTGGTTCATCTATGCCGATAGAGAAAGATAAATATTCACTGTTACATCTGTTTGACAGCGTTCTGTGTTCTATCAACCCCAGACTAGTTTCTACTGCTGAAGTAACTGACTCTGTCGCTGGGTCCTGGTTGAATTTTCGAACTGGACCTCTGGAAATCTTCCATAGAGTCCATTCTAGGTGACAAATCAATAATCATGGCGTCCTATCCATTTGTCATTCATATTGACAAGACATTTGACGACCGTTCAATGGTTAAGAGTTCGAAAAGGAAATCTCGCTCGAGTAAATATCTCGGGCAAGAGAAAATAATGGTTATTTACAGTAGAATGACTTGAGTTATTTCCAATCAATTTTCGTTGGAATCGTAATCAGGTTAATCCTCTCCATCATTGGTTTGGTCAACGAATGCTTAGATCTTTAATTGCTATAGCCGCTTGTTTCGCCTGTCGTCGTCCGCCACGCCACGAGTAAACTTTTCACATGAAAAATTCTCAAATTCGGTTAGTGAGATTCAGTTTAATCTTACTTGAAATGACCATCAGATAGTCATAACCGAGCGTTATTTTTTTAAAGTTTTATTGTTATTGAAAGGCTATACAAAATTTGTCAAGTTCATCCCGTGGGATTTAACTCAAACTTGCCTGAACTGGTAACGAAGTGGTTCTGATTAAGTGTTAGTTATTTTTCAGGTTTGTTCGAAATACAATATGGCCATTACCTAAAAAGACATTTTAAACTTTTTCTCAACTCCGACTTTCGGATTCAACATAAACTTGCCGAGATGGTCTCGACCTACGTTAGTTTTAGGTTGGTCCATAATCCAAATACATCCATCATAACAGCCATATTGAAAAAAAAACTTAGTAAAAACTAATCATCTAGTTCCAATGGTGCTATTGAGATGAAAATTGGTTTTAAATAAATACTGTTGTTTCTGTTTCCGTTACAACATAAAATACGGGGACCGCTGTGGTCAAGTGGTTTGGGTGTCTGACCGTTACGTTTTTTTTTCTTTCAAATTTACAGTTCGAAAATCCATACGGTATGCTTTAACTTACGATCGAAGTCAAAATAA